AGCCTGCCACGATGCAGCCAATACTGGTCAGTGAATGAAGAAACTAAATGGAACTAGTTTTCATAGTTAAAAAAAAAAAATGGACAAACAGTAGACCGCTAAAGATTATGCCTAATAAGGCACACATTTTGATTAAGAAAATCTATTTTGCATTATAGATTTAGTCACATTCTCCCTTGTTAAAAAGATAACAAATACAGTACATACAATTTCAATAGAAAATAAAGGTTTAAACTAAAAGACTTAAACGCTTTGGGTCAATTTTATCTGCTTTTTTATGTTTCTAGTTTTGGTGGTTAGATACCTGGTTCTAATATACATTACCCATTTATAGATAAGTAAATATTTAATAGTTACAAAGGCTTCCCAAAGCACTATAGGTTAGCTAAATATAAAATGCTGCAGCCTCCTCTGATTAAAACTGGAACTGAGCCATCAGTATGCATCTGATGACTAGGGATGTGCAGGGGCCCACGAACAATCCCTACCAATTCAAATTATGTAAACAACATTCATCATAGCTGAATGTGTGGACGAAGTCTAGTGTCCCATCTGCTGGCTAATAGAAGACTGTAAAAGATGTTGTATTATATCAAATGTACCAGACTAAAAAATTAACTATTTACATTTTTAGCCCTAAAAATATGTTTAAAAAACACTGATTATACTGTACACTCTGTTTAAAATACATTTTTGGAGAAAACTTATGCCTAAAGACATGCCTAACGTGAATGCCCACTGACATCTATTTACACATATACAGACAGCACTGTGGACAGAAAGTATTCACATATTACCACATCAGAAATCCAAAACAAGAGGTATTTAGTATGAATTTTAAAAAAGTGGAAAAAGACATGCATCACTGCAGATAAAACAAATACATATACAGCCTAAAGCTGGCCATATGTTGACAATTGTGTACATTTTCTTTCAGTGTTTAACCCTTTCGCTGCCACCGAGGTATGGCATACGGAGGAACACAATCGCTTGCAGCTAGCCACGTCAGTATGCCATACGCCGGTGGCTTTTACCCTTCTGTTATGTGACAATGTGGCATTGTCCGATTCCTGGTTGAGTGGCACTGCAACTAGGGAGACCAGCACTGAAGAGAAAACTGAATATCTCCGAAATCTAAGATGTTGATCAGGAGTCAAGATTCCCCAATCCTGACAGACAGGCATCCACTGTGAGCCCTTTTCAGACCACAGGGAGGAAGGATGTCTCAGATTTCAGCGCCAGGTTGGGGATTTACAATGCCAGTGCAAGCCAGGCCTTGCTGACAAGAAAAAGGTGGAGATTCAGGGACTGAACATGTTTGTCCCACTCAGCCAGAATGCTGAGCTGCAATGGCCTGGAGTGAAACTGCACAAGGGGAACTGCCTTGAAGGAGTTCACCATCAAGCACAGCATTGTCATGCAAAAGCAGAAGTTGGGGGACTCTTGAATTGTAAGGTTCAAGCATAAGAGTAGAGAGAAAGGATATTTTCCAGGAAAAGAAAAACCCTGGGCAGGACCAGGTCCAAAATAAGACCTAGATATTCAGAAACCATCCGAAGCTCTGTGGAATTTGTACTGTCCAATAAAAGCTGGACGATCAGGATTCCACCGACTGCTTTCTGCGGAGAAGGTCGTCCAAGTACACCACTATAGGGATCCCATGAGAGTGAAACAGAGCCAAAATATGGTCCGGCACTATAGTGAAGACCTAAGCTTCAGTTGACAGGAGGAATGGAAAAGCAACAAACTAGTAATTATTATCATTATTATTATACAGGATTTATATAGCACCAACAGTTTGCTCAGCGATTTACAATATAAAGAAGACATTACAATTACAATACAATTCAAGACACGAAGGTAAGGAGGGCTATTGATGGGCATGAAAAATGGGGATGTGCATGAAAAACGGGGAAGTGCAAATTTGCATCCTTGATATCCACTGATGCCAGAAAGTCTCCCAGGTTGAGGGAGGGGAGGATCTTTAGGTTGAAAATAGGATTGCATTCAAGCCACTTCCTGCAAGAAAGCTCCACAGGCCATTATTTGGGCCGTAGGATTTAACACATCTAGAGAGACAGGAGACCAATCCTGGAGATTTGTCTGAGATTATCCACCAGAGCATCTACAAATTTCGTAAAGGAGAATTATAGGGTCAGTGAAAAACACACAGGTTGGCTCTATTGGGAAGTCAGCGAACACATACCGCCGATCACTGACTTCCCGATCCTCTCCCTGCAGACGGGATCCATCCTGGCTGTGTGTAGCTCTGCTCTCTCAGCATATAGCGGGCAATAGCCCACTATATACTGGGTTTTTGGCCACTGGAGGGCATTAGTATATGTCCTCCTGTGACCCTGAAGAGAATTATGGCCAAAAAAGGTTAGGTCATAGTTCTCCTTTAAGGAAACCCTCTCAAATAGGGTATTGCTGAGCAAACCATTTAGTGAGCACATATGCAGGTTTTGGCATTTATAAAGAAACCAGACTAGTGACCTTTGGATCAGCCAACACAGGTGACTAACTATAAACAATCGCACACCACATCCACAAGGAAAGAAATAGTGTCTCTGAGCTTGGGAAAGACACCAAGAGACAGATTCCACTAAACTGGAAGCAGCTCCTTCCTCCTCCTCTTCCTCAAAAATGAAAGGTCAGAGGGGGAGTCCAAGGCCTCCGGTAGTTTAGATATTTTCCCCATAAATTCCGCCATGATTGATGTAAACTCTTCGCTGGACAGGAGGTAGGGGAGGGTACCCTGGAGGATGCTGAAGAGGACTCGGAGGATGGAAGTGACAGAGAAAATGAGCAGAAAAGTATCCTGAGGAAAGTGCAGACGCAACTGCGTGCAATCCCACACAGGATCCTGTGACCTAAGCACATTACAGGTGAGCCCTGTATCTTCTGTCCTGCTGGGTCCAGGTATGGTCCGACAAGGCTCTGCCAGGGAGAAACATGGTCCGGGTAGCTGACAAGTACTAAATTTAGGCATTTAGCTATAAGTACTACTTTTTAAACCTTATATTTGCTACTGCTGATTCAAACCATGCAGAAAGAAAGATAAAAAAAAACCTTGCTGAAATTTAGGCCGACATGAATGTGTTACACTATTGTGCACAGACCAGAAAGCAAAATTGATCAAAAGCAAGACAAACATTATTCATTAAGCATGCAGCTCACATGAATACAGGTGCGACGGCCATATGCATTCCCAGAGGCAAAAGCTAGCACCAATTCAAATTGCTGGAGGTGCATTTTTGTTTTGTTAATGGACCATTAAGTTACTGCAGTAGAGAGGCTAGGTGTATACACCACCTTGACTATATCAGCAGTTTGAAAAATCAATTGTGTCTATTTGGAACTTGCAAAGTGCACTTACTCCTGAATAACTGTTAAGGTTGCTGACATAACCATTCACCATATTAAAACAGTCTATTTCACAGGAAAAAAACAAACTGCTTTTCGGTAAACAAAGCTTTGTTGCAAATTATTAACTCTAATTGATAGGATCTGAAAAGATGTGTGGAACTCTTGGAAATAGGTGAATAAACCATGCATATATGTTAACTATTCTATCTGCTTACAGTTGTGATTCTATTTACAAGCCAGTTCTATGATACAGACATTCTTGCCCTTAAACAAAGTCAGGTCACAGACCGACTCGTAGACTAAGCTGCAGTAAAACAAAACAGTCTTGCCCAGGACCCATCCAAGCGTGTGACTGGGCAATGAAGAAACAGCAGCACATGAGATTATACCTGTGCCCTCCTCTCCTGTAAGCGTGTTCATACAATTAAACTGACAGCAGTGTGTAAAACAATTGTCTGGACTAGCTTAGAGTGCTGCCACTCCCTCTGCTAATGTGACTACTGCTGTGCTGCAGGAAGTGGATATGTCAGGTTAGTGGTTCCCAAAATCTTTAGGTTATGACACACACTAATTAAATTTTAAATAATCGTCATACATTGGGCATATAGCTGTTCGCTTTACAGGTGAATTAACGGAAATGTCTCTTTGCAAAGCAGCAGTAGCAAGGCTTAGCTTACTGGCTGCTCTGAAAGTAAGCTGCCCTGTGCAATAAGATGACACACTGGTTGGGAATCACTATGCTAAATGTGAACATATTGGTTTTTTTTATATATTCATTAAAAAAAAAAAGTGTGTGTGTGTGTTGTGTGTGTGTATATAATTTGTAAAATATTTTATTTATTTTGTATAAACGTATTTTTTTTAATGTTTTACTTTTAACGGCGTCGGGGGAAATATTGGGGGTCTAAACAGACCCCTGATATGTCCCTTTTAGAATAGAAAAAGAGATTGAGGACACAGAGTCTTCAATCTCTTTTTCTGCAGCCTCTATATGAATCCTCTATACTGAGTGTTCCTATTCATTCATAACATGAGAACATTGTGTGTTTACTATAACCACAATCATGAATGAACAGGAACTGATGTAGATCACTCCCATTCATTCATAATTGAGGATAAAGTTAACATACTATGTCCTCAATTATTTACACAAACTCTGCTGCTGAGTGTTTGCACTTATCTCCTTCCTGACACACTGTCACAGCAGGCTGAGTGAGCGGAGCCCATACACCGCTCTGCCGATCTGTGACAGGAGGCTGAGCGGTGGGGGAGGAGAGACGCCGGACGCTCACATCACTCTCCTCCTACAGCGCTCGGCAGCCTGTGACAGTTTCTCTCTTCTCCGCTGGGACACAGAGCAGCACCCAGCAGGGAGGAGAGAAAGATGGATGCACCGCTGTATCGGCCAGAAAATGGTGCTTTGGACAGAACAATTCCAAACTTTAAAATTGTTCATTGATCTGCTGATGCTTTCCAGTAAGAAATTCAATTGTGTGAAAGTTAACTTCATTGACCTTAATCTGATTTTTTTACATTTAATATACACACACAGTATTTCTAAAATTTCAGAAAAGCATTCAAAACCTTTTGAAAATACACGGCTTTGAAAATAAGTCCTCAAGACTGCTCACCTCATCCAGATCTTTAATGTACACTGGCTTCTCTTCAAAGCCGATAGGCATTGGTTCTGTGATAGGAATCTTAACTTCTTCATAGACTTTGTTATTTTCTCTCTGAATACCTTCTGGCAGGATTAACTAAAGTAAATAGAATAAAAAACATTAGTTAATTAATATTAGTCTCACATTAAACATTCTACATGTGAATAAAAATAATAAAACACTCTCACTCTAAGGCTCCATTCACACCTAAGTGTCCGTGTTTTAGGCCTTTTTTTCTTCTAAGTGTTTTGTCTCCTGTTTTTCAGCTCGTGTGGTCTTCCATTTTACTCCCCAGTGGGGGGTTTTTTTGCAGAGAAAGGCTGGCTCTTGTGCAACAAACACATGACAAAAAATGCATAAAACGCACAAAAAAGTTTGTGTCTTGCTTTCCAGGCGTTTTCATTTAAATCTAAGGGGACAACCTGCAAAAAAAATAGCTCATGTACTTTTTTCAGCAAAAAGCATTTCGCTACAAGGAACATGATGCTCAAACAGGGGCCATGGAAAAAAAAAGAATGGGATTCCTTGTGTTCAGCGTTTTGTGGCTCCGAGCTACAAAAAGCCTAGGTGTGAACAGGGATTAACACCCTTAAACCATTGCAGCTGTTGGCCTGGTCTGAAAGCATTTTGGATGCCTGGATAAGAGACATTGTGTCCAGTGGTTACAAGCTAGAGTTACGCACTATCTCCACCCTGAATTTAATTATCTAACCTAGCTGTGTCTCTGTGTCTCTACAGTCTAGTAGACCTCTTTTCTGCTCTAGCAGAACTTTTAAACCAAGGAGTCATTGCCATTGCACCACCCCAAAATTGCTTCTACTGTAGAGCCGGCGGCCGGCTTTACAGTAGAAGCAATTTGGCGACTCAGTTGTCGCCAGGTCACTTCCACAGGCTGGGGAAGGCTTCCATTCACTGATCTACTCCCCGCACTATGAGACCGGGGTGACTGTGATCACATCACCTCCAGTCGTCCCTTAGCTGTTATTGCTCGGCTCCTGAAACCAAGCAAAAAGCTACTGATGTGCATTCCACACTTCAATAGCTTATTTGAAGTAGAAAGGTGACACTTGGGTCTTTTAGACTCCCAGTATCACCTTAAAGAGGACGTGGGAACGCGTTTCGTCGTTTCTGGACTTTTTCAAAAGGGCAATAAGTCCAGAAACTACGGAACCCTTTTTGGACTTTTTCAAAAGGGTAATAAGTGCGAAATTTGTTTTGGTTGAATACATGTTGACATATTGCTGCACTTATACGTTTTTTCCCCCCTTTCTTCTGACCCCTTTCGTGGTATTGGAAATTCCGACTGATGGATACCGCTGCATATGCAGTGTGAGAATGGTTAACCGGAGGGGAACGAATCATTAGCGTCCAACCTAGCTTTTCAGATAGAACGGGAAGGAATGGATGCTACACCATAACTGCAAACGACTGGTGACTAAATTCTTTTGCTAACCAACTCAGATATTGGACTACGGATTTCTGACTGTAATAGAAGGGAGCAGATAAGTACCAACATAGCCTACATATCATCACTTAAAAGTTGAAGTGAAACATTAGACAGTTGGGACCGACTTTCATTGTCATAAGATTTGATCTTCTGCGAGGACTTATATGTGCTTAACCTTATGTTGTTCCAATTTTCTTTTTGATTTATGTCGAGTAGTTGTGATTACCAATTGGATCAGGGGAAACTTAGGAGTGCCGACTCCGTTCATACAATTTGGTATTGAGATCAGTATATCCAGCATGTTGGTGATGTGCTAAGATTGGCCCCTGCAGTATCCCACCCCATTCATTGTTACACGGGTGCAAGTTCACGAATATTGCAGATCACGCCATAGTTGGCACAGTTACTAATTAATACTCACTGATACACTATACACTAAGGAAGTGTATATGCAAGTTGACATAAGAAATCACCAATTTAATATTAAGGGCTTAAGGTCGTTTATTATTTATAATACAACAATCACTACTTAAGGAAAACAAGTATTACACAGTTAATGACATACACAAGGTGGTTTAATACTAAGTAGAACAGCAAACACCAAGCGCAACATATTAGCTACATCGATAAGTTCTCAGTGTCGACAGATCACCGGCCCAAGTGGCTCAGTCGGCTAATGAAGGGAAGGGGGGAGGAGTCCGGTGACAGTATGTGACATGGGGAGCTTAGATTGTAGGCTTCCTGGACAGGCACTGATGTGAATGTGCAGTATGTAAAAGCACAGCATTGTCAGCACTATAGAATTTATTTAAACAGCTTCATTACTTCTCTGGAAAAGCGTACCCTTATTATACATATAAGTACTAGTTAACCATAAGCATTTAGCCCACATTATTTAACAGGATAGTTTGGGTATGAATTAAAGATCACCTGTGCCACAGCTGTGAACAAAAACTGTAATGCCCAAAGCAGTGGAAGTGGATTTCATTTATTTTAGCTCTGCATCTAAATTATCTAAAACATCTCACTGGGGGCTTGTGGCATCAAAATGCAGTGTCACTCACCTCTCCGCCGGCTTCCGGGAGTCCCGTCGGAGATCCGGTGACGTTGAAGCCGGTGGAGAGGATTTTCATTAGCGATCAAAAAAATGTTAATCGATCAAAAAGATTAACAATTAAATCGAGAAATGAATCTTTAATTTCCGCAGCCCTAATATATATAACTAAAAATGGCATGATATTACTGCATTTCACTTTATTAGTAAATTTTCTTTATTATAAATCACTTTATTATAAAAGGTAATTCAAGCAGACACAATAAAAACAAAAAAATTAGCCACTGCTGATATACCTTTGCACCACCAACAAATGCAGAGGTTTTCATGGCTTCTGCATACGAGTCATATACATGTGGATATGCAACTCTTTCACCATAGTCTCTGTCCCTAGTCAGTATTGGCATGGTTCTAGCATTGGCCAGGGCCTGTTCTCTGTAGACAAATACAAAACAAATTCATATATATTTAAAAACTAATTCACATGAAAAAAACAAATAAATACAAATTGCTAAGTAAACCGAACTCAGATTTGTTGACATTACCACACAATTCTAATAATGTTGAGTGCACTAAATACATAACAGTAACTAATAAAGATACTAAATGAAATGTCATGCCCTTTTGCATTTTACTACTTATTTCAAATCTATAAAATATATCTAAAAAACATATTTTACTATGAGTGTACTTAATTTACATGATTATTATGTGGTTCCCAAATATACTAACAAACCATTGCAGGTTATTGTGGAACTTTCCTTCCACTTCCTTTTCCCACAAACGTGGAATTCCCCAAAAGTGACAAAGTTGTCTCTGGATCTCTTGTCCCCATTGGAAGATTTCCTCACACCTATTGTTTCGGGGACAACTCTAAACTTTTGGAAGCCCAGTTCTTTCTTTTTCTAGTGACAATGGTCACCACTATAGATAGAAGGGTGATTGATTCTTCTCAATGGGGACTCAGGCAGCAATAAAAACTTGACAGAATTTCTTACCTTTCCCCAATTAAAAGAAAAATTGATTTTTGTGCTCATTATAAAATCATTTTCTTGGAAGTTCATTAACAGACACAGGATACAATGTCATCTACAGGAGGATTTAGACAAGGGCAAACAAAAAAACAGTAGCCAGCCTAGTATAATCCCTGCCCCTCCCAGCATGCCTTAGTTTTGTAATAAGCAAGTCGAGAGCAAGACCAGAAATACAAAAAGGACTTGTGTCCCTCACTGAACTTCAATATTTTGATGGCTAGGTCCAAATGTGTCCTGAATATTCACATGGCAAACCTTAGAGAATGTGTAAACAGAAAACCAGGTGACGGCCTTGGAAATCTGGGAAAGAGTTGCCTGATACTGAAAAAACCCAAGAAGCACTCACAGATCTAGCAGAGTGTGTACCTTGGCAGGAACGGGTGGAACTGATTCTTAAGACCATAAGCTTGAGGAATGAGGATTTCTCTGGGCCACCTAAAAATGGAGGTACGAAAAGCTGTTTCCCAGTGTAAAATCAGAAAAGGTTCTTTACAGGAAAAAAAACATAAATTTAGACATAAACCTCACCGAGGTGATGTGGGAAAAATCACTAATAAGTTCAAATTAAATTTTTTAAAGAGCCAAAAGAACCACATTTAAATACCACAGCGTCACAGCTGAACACACAGGGGGGAGCTACATGAGAGACATCATGCACAAAAGTCTTATTCCAAAGACCGCTAGCTTCCCATTCTTTCATTAAGATCTCAAGTGCTGCGATCTGATCCTTAATAATACTCCAGTACAGCCAACTGTTGATCCAAGCATGAGTATATAAAAGTCAGGATTTGTCCCACTGAGTAATTTCTAGGACTTATGACTCTCATATGCTATGGAACATCTTTGGGAAGTGGTCTTCCTGGCTTATAACATTGTAGAGATCATCAAGTCAGAGAGGTCCCTGTCCCTCAAGACCTGGGCTTCAACAGCCATGCCAATAAAGCCAACGACCATGGAGGATGGCAAAACGGTCCTTGGGGCAGAATAGCCAGTCGATCTGGAAGAGCTTACTGATCGTCTGACGGAGTCCATTCAAGTCTAAGTACTACATTTGCCTGGGTCAGCTATGATTATAATCCTCAATTTCAATCCTGCAGAGCAGACAAGGAAGGAGTGTAAGGGGAGGTGAGGTGAGGCACAAATCAGGTGGTACTGATCCCCCATATATTCTGCATTGACTCCTTCATTTGTTGTTGAATGTGGACGCCAAGAGATCCATATGCCAACCTGGACAGCTGCATCAAGAGACGAGCTCAAGCAGCTTGTAGAAGTTGTTTTGATTAAAGAAAAAAGTATTCTTGAAACAAAAATGACTAGTAAAAATGGATAAACGTTTCCTAAGAAAAAGATCTCCATCCTTGTAGGTCACATGGGGGGGAAAACTGAGACCTTCTGGAATAGAAAGAGTTATACTAGGCTGGTCAATAATGTTTGCTTGCAAGTGTCCAAATCATCTTGTAGGTGGCAGTATACCCCAACTGTCTCTAAATCTTGTGTCTCTCAATGAAAATAAAAAATGTTTTTGCCTAGATATACACTGTAATCAGAATGTGTAATCAGACTGACAGAAGGATGATCAGTAGCAGGGTGTTTTGCACCCACTGAAGTTGGCCACATTAGATGGTATGCCAGTTACCAAACCAGCCTAAAAGGCTGCATATAATTCACATAATATTCATATAAATGCAGGTTTTCAAAGAATATTTTCTTGCAGCCAGATAAAACGCATGAAAAAAATACCAGCTAGAAGCCTCAAATTCTACAAAATAGCAAAATCCCAGTATACAACCAGTCTGGACACTTCATTTTACTCAAATTCTCCACTAAACAATGTCCTTGCAGGTTGTGACCCAACTGGGTGAGATTAGGAAGGGGGCACGGGCTCCCATTTTACCATCACATCTTGAAGGAAAAGTTTGGTACAACAGTTCATCCATTTAGAAATCCCTGCCGCATTCCATACCAAAAGGAGTTTTTCAGTTAGTCATGCAAAGTGAAGAACATCAATTATGTTGAAAAACTTGGAGAAAGTCATATTACCAAAATCAGGAAAAGCTAAAGAGTATAACAAAAACTTTGAAAAACTAAAATTAAAGATTTAAGCAATTGCTTGATCTCAGAAAGCCACTTCAAGCACAGGGTCAAAATCAGCTTTTCTCAAACCTGTCCTTAAAGGAGAACTTTGGGGTTAAGGCTTTTCCCCATAGTTCTCCTTAGGGTAACGGGAGGACACAAACTAGCGTCCTTCCGTCACCCTAGGCTCAGTATACCGCGAGCTGTAGCTCGCGGTATACTGAGACACCGCAGCTGAAGCGGATCCCAACAATTGTGCCGGGATCCGCCCAGCTGCGTGACTGACAGCTGGCTCTGCCTATCTAGAGGCAGAGCCAGCTGTACCCTCCCCCTCCCCCGTCCGCTCCGCCAGTCAGCGCTGGCAGATTGGAGCGAGGTGGGGGGAATGCAGCCCCTCCCCTGTCACGGCAGAGAGCCAGTATGTGTTCGCTCACCTCCCGATCTACTGAGCCGACCTGTGACAGTCTCATTGTCACACGTCGGCTAGAACTATGAGGTGACTGAACAGCACTTCCCTCATAGTTCTCCTTTAAGGTCCACTAATTACTAATCTCTGAATAATTGTATGTTTACCCTCGACTTGAGAACGGGTTAATGGTAAACTGTCACAAATGCACACTTGGCAGTATTCTGAACAAATAACGGGTGCTGTATTGACCAGATGGATGGCACAATCTGGGACAAAAAGCAGCTGTATGTCACCAGCACACAAATGCTTCACTCAATGGAAATTTATTGTCAGTTGTGACACTATGGGGCCATAGGGCCAAGACTAAGTTAGAGAAATGCTGCTGTAAACATTACTTTTGTTCTTTACAAAACTGGAAACATTGTTAACGTATTACACAAATGGGACAGGAACTACCGTAAAGTTAAAAAAGAACATATCTGTGCCCATGTGAAATCCATGGGCTTATTATATTTTTTGTTATGTGTTTTTTTTTTACCAGTGCAGACTGACTCCAGCATATTTATAGATTCATTATGAGAACTAAAAATCGGTAAAATACATGGATGCAGGTATAAATATGCTTTTGCATAGTGTTTTCCTCAAATTAATTCTCTGGAGTGACCCTAACAAGATAAAGCAGAAGGAAGAGGTGGAAGTTTATGCTGCATCGTGGTCTCTGTGTCACAGTCAATTTAACAATTTGCCTGCTTTAAAACAAAAAGGTCAGCAAGTGTGTATGGAAAAACACTCCCAATAACAATTGCAGCAAATTATAGGTATAATTTGTAGGCATTGGCAACTCAATAACTGCAACAGACATTCTTATTTACAGTGTTGTTGTCCCTACTCCATGCCACATAACAATGTAGAGATCAAACATTTTATGGGCTCAATATTTAAAAAGCCAACAAGGCTAGAGGTTTTTTTTTTATACTCCGCTGCAGCAATGCAACCCCTTATTTGCTTTCCTTTTTTTACCTATATTTCAAAATGACAACATAGAAAATAGCACCCATTAATCTCGAGAGGAAAAACAGATAGTTTCAATGCATTTAGTACAGACTTCATAAATCTTAAACTAGTGGTGTGTACAGAGCACCTAAGGAAGATAGCTTACCTCCTTAATCTGCATTTCTAAATCATGTGGAAGCGACCAAGCAGATTCTAATTAAGCAGATCACTGCTTTCTTATCCTAGAAAATTAGGTTTTCATAAAGAAAAAAATTCTATACTTTGCTTAAGACGTGACCTGAAGTTGAAATCCTGTAATCTCCAAAAGCTGAACTTAAAGAAAATAAACGATTAGGACACATTAAAGTAGCAATTACAGCTGAAGCATTTTTCAGTGTTTGGCATTTATTACCTCTGCATTCGCAGTTCCTTGGGATCAAAGCCTATTAGCCCTTCCCCAGGAATCTCTCCATCCTCGCCTACACGTTTGTCTCGTTTGGCACTGCGTTTTTCTTCTCGCCGATACTGTTTCATGAGGTGCTTTTCTTGTTCAGAATGGACAGTAACTTGACAGCCATAGTTAGGTCTTCCCATTTCTCCAGCAAGTTTTTTGTGGGAATCTACAAGTAATACATATGCATAACTTTAAAAATGCTGTCTACAATACAAAGGCTAATAGAGTATTTGCAAGTACAAATGTGGATACATTTGTTGGTACACATATATCTCATTGGAACAATGCTTAATTTCTCCAATTGTCTAATGTATGCCCTCATGCCTTTCGTACATCTTACAATAGAAGCAAGGGTGAAAAGGGGTAAATGATTGCTTATTCTTAAGACATATTCTAAAATGGCATGGACAAATGTGCTGGTATTCTTAAAAAAGATTATAAATATTTGTATCATAGTGATATTTCCAACAGTTTTCTGTAATTAGTATCACACATGTTTAAAGTGACACTAAACTCAGGAATACCTTAACTGTTAAAAAAAATTGCTTATTTGTGCATCACTCAGCTATGCGAGTTGTAAAGTAGCCATCGCTCCAAGCTCTCTCCCATGATGGACTACAATCTCATGTTTAGTTTTCCAATTTGTATTGAGATTGTATTCGATCACAGGAGCAAGCTTGGCACAGGGAATGCTTTACAACATACACACAGGGACTAGAGGGAAGAAAATTAGCCACCCTCCAGAAGAAGGACAGTGTCCAAACAAATTCAGACATGATTTGAGAATTTACAGCTGACTGATACACAAATAAGATACATTTTTGTTTTGTTAATGGTTAGGGTACGTACATTCATTTTTCAGATTTAACTCCTGAGTTTAGTGTCACATTATTTGCATGTGAATTTTTATTAGAAATGCACAGAAAATACAAAGTCGTCAAAGAAAAATTGTATTTAAGCTAACTGCAGTATTGGACCCATTCATCCATAAAGGAGGGTAAAGTATATTGAGACATATAATATAAAGAAACTATATGCACTGTCATATAGTACAATTGGAGTACCTAATATATGAAACAAAACAATAGAACATGCTTGGTATGGGTCTGCATTTAGCACATATTAAAGAAGGGGCTAAATATACATCATAGAAAATTCTATGGGTTATGAGCCGTTATGAGCCGTTATGAAGAACCACATCAAAGAACATCCAAAGCACCTAGCGATCCACTGTTTGGCTGTATAATACCACACAGAGTGTTGGAATATTGTCATAATATCTTAAATGTTGCAGAAACCTTAGGATTGCCAAAGGAAAAACACCTTAGAGTCAACGCCTGGAGGGAAAGCCGGAGAAGAGGGGAAAGGCAATTCTAATTGTACCAACAAGCATCTAAATGCATGTAAACATGTGTAGACATATGGAAATATGATTTGATGCTAGGATGTTGATTGATCAGTGTACCTTGCATGAAAAGTTTAGGAGCCATGTCTATAAAATTTAGAAAATTACTAAGGTTCAAAACCTTTTTCTGACAACTGTTTAAGTTGCTGGACCATTCTTCCGAACATGTAGTTTGAGGTTAAAATTAAGTCAGATGTTCCTGAAGAAACATATTTACAGAAAGCAAATACTGAAACTTGGAGCAGAAAAACTGACAAGGAAAGATCAGTCAAAATGAATGACCTTTGATTAGGCACTGTGCTGCAAGAAAGTTGCAACATCAGGGGGTGTGTACTGAAAGAGATGAAATACAAACACAAGCATTGCTTACCAGACATAATGCCAAGGGTAACAAAGTTAAGAGAAACACAAAGTAGTTGGTGGGCAAGCAAGAGTCAAAGACATAGCATCAGAATAAAATAATTGTACTGGTCTTTGCCTGGCTTTAGCATCAATTACATTTTACAATTACTATTCAGAAATGAAATCTCGCACAGAACCTAGTTGGCATTCTAAAATACACTCAGAAAAAAACTGCATTGAAAGAGCAATTTAGGGGAAAAAAAAGATTTCAGAATGTGAAGACACATGACAGCAACAAGAGAGCAAAAGCACAATCTAAAACAAGAGAAATTGAAATGCTGAGGAAAGGTGAACCAGAAGAATGGCAGAGGAGAGGATGTATGATCAAATTAGTGCAAAGGAGGTACTGAATCTCTACCTGAAGGGTAAAACTGAAAGACAGCAGCTTTATTAAGACAAAGGATAAGTGACGGCAATGGGTAGAAAGACATTCTAATGGGAAATCAAGAGGACATGATATACTGTAGCACTGATAGCTTCAGATTGATTGTTGACACTGGCTGGCAGAAGCAGGCTGTCTTAACTCTAATACAAATTCAAAGCAACCTTCATCCATTGATATGCAGTGATACCGTAAAGTAGGCATACTCAGGCACACAGAGCACATTGCATTGATCATGTGACCACAAAAAAAAAATCTGAATATAGACATAACAGTAAAACCACAGTAGACGTATATTCTAAGGGTTATCTTGTTACTGACTTAGGAATATAATGGGTCTAGTGGAAAAAGGTGAATGAAAAGCAAAGTAGAGCAGTTAACAATTTTACTTTGAATCCCTCATCCTTTGTAATATTAACTAGCAAAAGTGTGCCAATTCCAGAACAGTCAAGATTGGGTAAATTGCAATGTTTTAGTGGTTAAGATATGCAGTAGAGGGATGTGGAAGGTATGACAGAAGGCAATATGGGTAGATGAGAGGTGTGGAGAATATGACGGCTAGCAGTATGTGCAGGAGAGGGTATAACACAAGGCAGTTTGTGCCGGAAAGGAGTGTGGAGCATATGACACAGGGCAGTATGTGCAGGAAGGGAATGTAGAGGGTATGACTGAGTAGCAAGTTCAGGAGAAAAGTGCAGAGGGAAGTGGGCAGAATATATAGGGTATGACAGCGGGCACTATGTGCAAAAAAAGAGTGTACAGTGTGCTGTGCAAGATGGAAATTGGAATGGGTGGTACAACTGTGTACTTATGTGAAGATTTACTTTAACCACTTGCTGACTGGGGTGTTTACACCACCTTCCTGCCCGGGGCATTTTTCAGTATTCAGCGCTGCAATACTTTGACTGACTTCTATTCAGTCAGGCAACACCGTACTGAAATTAATATTATAACATTTATGAGGACACATAGAGCTTTCTTTTGGTGGTATTTAATCACCACTGGGGTTTTTATTTTTTACTATATTAAGAAAAAATTATTGAAAATGTAGGGGAAAAAAAAAAGTTATTTTAACATTTATGTTATAATACATTTATTATTACCAAGTTTTTTGGTAAAATATAAAACACGGGGTCACGTCAGGTAAATAGACACCAAACCTTAAAATTGCCCGCACTAAAACTACTACACCCAAAATTGACCATAGGTGATGCTTTAACCCCTTCATGACTGAGGCTCTTTTTTCAATTTTTGCACCCATGTTATATTCCACATTTTAGGCCTGAAAATGACGTAAAACCCCCCAACATTATATATTTTCTGAATGCCAAGGCCCTATAGAATAAAATGGTGGTAGTTATGCCGCAACCGAGACAGATCCCGACATTACTGTCAAGATCCACCCAGCTGCGTGATTGACAGCTGGCTCTGCCTATCTAGAGGCAGAGCCAGCTGTACCCGCTCCCTCCCCCGTCCGTTCCGCCAGTCAGCGCTGGAGGATCGGAGCGGGGAGGAAGGGAATCCCTGCGGGGAGTGGTGAGTGACAGTCACGGCTCTCTGCAGGGACATGATCCAGAAGTGAGTGAGTGAGCAACGGTATGTGTGTGCTCACTTCCCGATCTATTGAGCCGACGTGTGACAGTTTCATTGTCACACGTCGACTCTAACTATGAGGATGAGTTATTTTCACTCACCTCATGGTTCTCCTTTAAAAGCTTTTACTGCTCATCAGTTTAGTGTTATCGGTGAGTAATGGCCCTACAATTATTGTTCTCACTCGAGCGTTAGCAGTGATATGCAACATATGCAGCGTAATGGGCGTAATTGTCGTTTTCGCATGTATGCGCACCTGGCGCATGTTTTTTTATTGATTTTTTTATGTGTGCCATTATTTATTTATTTTACTTTTTTCACTTCATTTTATTGTTATCACATAGGGGTGCTCAAAAGCCCCCTATGTGATAGCAAAGATGATGTGACAGGTCCTCTTTATGGAGACATCAGGATTCTTTAAGACCCCTAATGTCAGCTAGGGACCCCCAAAGAAGCTGATGAAGCACAGATCTAAAGCCAGAGAGTGACAGCAGAATGCGGAAGTGATGTAATATACATCACTTCCTGCATTCCCCTGTCACAGAGCCACCGTGCTGGTCCCGGGCTTCCAGCCGGCACAGCGGAACAGCACCTCATACAAGAGATCCGGCAGGTCTATAACAGGCGGATCACTTGTATGTAAACAATCATTGTTGCCTATTTACAAATGTTGACAGGTTCCCGATCGTGTGTGAGTGGGCGGGCCTAACAGGCTGTAATTAGATGGCCTGTCCCATCCAAGAAGCTCCCGGTTGGCCATTTTATTACAACAGCTGACCGGGAAACGGTTAACGCTCTTATCCTTTATAGTATTAAAGCCAGACTGTCATTTGTGTTCCCATACTGTTAGATTTGATTACAGGCCTGAATCTAGCTGAAGAAAGCATGCTTTAGCAGTGATGTCTCCACCACATCATACACAATGGTCTTTTCCATGCTCCCAGCACACACATCTAACTTCTCCAGTCTCTAGATTATGTGCATTACTCCCTGAATGACCAGTCCTCAGTGAATGAGCATTAACCCTTCAGCAGTCAGCCCCCATAGTATGTGCATTAACTCATCAGTGACTAGTGCCCAGTGAATGTGCATGACCCTTCACTGACCAATCACCAAACTGTGTGCATTATTTTATTTAAACCCTCAAATGTCAGTCTCCAGGGTAAGTGTGTTAACATCTTAAAGGCTAGTCTCTGGGTTTTCTGTGTTAACCAACAGTCTTGACCCTTCAGTGGTCAAAGAGGCAGAAAGCTGGGATCTGCATGGCATCATCACTATCACTATCCACTATCATTTAAAGATGAATCCCAGAATACAATCAAAAAGGGTAATCAGTGGCATAAAGTCAGCACACGATATGCTGCTACTCACTTTTTCCCAAAAGGCTTAGTTTAGGTGAAAATCAACCTCATATTCACATATATTGTTATATTTAAAACTGACTATGAATTCCTAAAGTATATTATAGCCAAGACTCTTTTTTTTTTTTTTTTTTGGGGAAGCATTTAAATTCCTCCAGGGATTTTACTGCTCTTTTTATTTCC